AGCGAGTCTCCTGCCACAGCCTCCCAAGTAGCTGGGACTACAGGCGCCTGCCACAACGCCTGGCCATTTTTTGGTTGTAGCCATCATTGTTGTTTGGCGGGCCCGGGCTGGGGATTCGAACCCACCACTTTAGGTGTATGTGGCTGGCACCTTAGCCGCTTGAGCCACAGGTGCCGAGCCTTAAGTTAGGTTTTTTAAACTTAATATGTCATTGTTATAGAGACCCAATTAATTCTCAGTTTCTGCTTGTGAAGTAATGATGAGCAGAATTGAAACAGTCTCTGCTGAGTAAGACCTATGACTGTGAGGGCCTGGCCAGAATAGCAGCTTCTGTTTGTAGAACACACACTTCTCAGCTGTGGTATCATCCAGACTTTCTAGGATTGACTTTTCCTCGGTAAAATGAATGAATGAGGAAAGTAAGCTCAAGAAGGCAAAAGCTCTCCCAGGAGTGCTCAGCAGGCTGTAGCAGAGTTGTCTGTGAAAGCCATATCCAACTGGCTTCACGGTCTTGCTCCCTGTCTCCCTCCTTCAGTGATTGAGGGAACAAAACCCAGAGCTATGGTCATTGATATGTGGCCGGACGGATTGGGGAAGCCCTTCTGGAGGGAGGAGAGCGAGAGAGCTGACAGGGTACTGGTGCCTGTCAGCTTGGCAAACACCAATTCTGCCCTAAGGAAATGACCAGATATTCACAAAAGTTAATGTAAAAATGTCCACTCTAGCGTTAATTATGCTGCCTAAGAGAGGAAACAGCCTAAATGTCCAAAGATGGAAGAAGTCTGGTTAGGTAACCCCAGCACATTCATGTGGTGGAACAGTTTGCAGCCACTGACAGTGATTTCTATAAAAATGTCACTAGAAGTAGTTCATGGTATATGCAGAGCAGCAGCCAGTATGCTGATGGTACTGGCTGCCTGCTCTGGAACAGGCCAAGGGCACGGTGTGGTCCAGGTTGGTGCCTTCACGCAGGACAGGTCTTGGTTTCCTTTTTATTTAAACAGAGTGAAAGGACAGGAGGACAGCTGCAGCTGGCAGCGGCGACAGGCACATCTCTGACTGAACGGCTAAAGCACCTAGAAAGGCTGATCCAGAGCTCGAGGGATGAGGAAGTGGCTTCTGCACTCCACCTCTCTGCACTGCTGGACATGGTGGACATCTGAGTGGCCTGGCCTGAGGGGAGGGATCTGTCCAGAAGAGTTTCTGCTTTTATTCAAAATAATGTTATTCTCAGATGCTTGATGCACTGTTGGAAATGTGATTATTAATCATGCAAATAAACCATTCGAATGTCCAGTGAGGTCTTTCCCAGTTTCAGAATGAAAAGCTTCACTGTGTGGAGTCTTCAGCATTCTCACCTGTCTTGTACTCAGATCACCACTCACCAGACAGGCTGGGAGGGAATGTGCAGCTTATGTTTTTTGTGTGTGACAGGTGATTCATCCTCTTGGTAAGGAGGCTCACACCTTCTAGCACTTTGGGAGGCTGAGGTGTGAGGATCAATTGAGCCCAGGAGTTTTAGGCTGCAACGAGCTGTGATGAGGCCACTGCACTCTACCCTGGGTGATAGAGTAAGACCCTGTGTCTACAAAAAAGAAAAAATATCTTTCTGTATATTGCTCAAATTTATCCCTTTTCTACACCAACTGCCAGTAAGTTCAGGCTCACACCCTTTGGCATCACCTGGACACCTATAGCACCCACCTCAGGATTCCTGCCTGATCTTTGAACTCCTCCACAAGCCTTTTTTTTTTTGAGACAGAGTCTGTGTCACCTTTGATAGAGTGCTGTGGCATCACAGCTCACAGCAACCTCCAACTCTTGGGCTTAAGGGGTTCTCTTGCCTCAGCCTCCCAAGTAGTTGGGACTACAGGTACCAGCCACAAGGCTCAACTATTTTTGTTGTTGTTGCAGTTGTTTAGCTGGCCTGGGCTGGGTTCGGACCTGCCACCCTTGGTGTATGTGGCTGGTGCTGTAACCACTGTGCTACGGGTGCCAAGCCCACAAGTCATTTTTAAAAGATGTGACCAGGTCATTGTCTGATTTCCTTCAAGGCCTGGTTTCCATAGCACTCAGAACAAGGCAGCAAGGATCTCTGCGGTGTGACCCTGCTGCCCTCTTCCCCTCATGGTGCTGCACAACAAACTGGTGTCTCCAGGCCATGTCCTCTAGGGCATCGTCCCATCTGCAGTCCTGCACTCTTCCTCTGCCCCACCATACTTCCCAGCTACCAGTTCTGGCACATGGGTCCATGCACATTCTCAGAAAGGTATGAACAGACATGGTGGTGTCGAGTGTGACCACCAGTCTTAAACGGGCGCTCAGCATCTCCTGACTGTAATCCTGTATATCTCAGACTAAGAAGACTCCTTCATGCTTCAAAGCTCCAGCATTCCCAGCTGATGACCTTGCTTGCTGCTATTTTGCTAAGAAAATGCAAGTAGTTAGAACCTCCTGTCTCACCTCTTCCAAGTCTACCAGCCAATCCCTTGCCTCACCAAACACATAGCTCTTCCGGGTTCCTTCAGTGATTAGTTTCACTTTTGCCGATAAAGGCTTTATACTATTTCCTAATCTTGATGTTGACTTCATGCAGTGGAAGAGGAGTTAGCGCTTTTACACACCTTTCCTCTTGAGTTTAATACAACGTTGGTGGAAGCTGTGCTCAGGGCTTGGTATGACAGCATGTGTAGTGTTCACCTTTGAGCTCTGTGATGGTTTACATTCTGAGTACTGAGGGGTTTAGATGTAGAGTTGGGGGGAGGGTCTGTGAGGAGAGGTGGCCCTTACAGGGATAAGAAAGGCTTTATTAGGAAAGAGCAGGGTGGCATCCAACCAAGAGTCAGCTCAGCCCAGTTTGCAGAGTTACTAGTGTAATTGGAAGTGGGGAGAGGGTCATGAGGTGAGGAGAGTCACCTTTTTCTGCAGAGTGAATGAAGCTGTGTCAGGGACTGATCCCTGTTGATCTTGCACCAGGTCCTTAGGGGAGGAGATTCTGGTGTTTTCCACTGGCCTTGAAGCACCCCAGGAGTGTGGGAAGGGGCTGTTGTGACCATACTCTTTGGCTTCTGACCTGTCTTCTCTCACTAGCTGGCCTTTCAGGATGGCTGCACTCTTGTCAGGGTTGTGACAATTCCTTTCCCACAGGTACTTTAGATTTTTCCTGGAGTTAGTGCTTTGATTTTTTCATTTGTCATTACTTCACCCAGAACTCTCTGCCCTCCATGGAGAAACCATCCAGCCTCTCTCTGCTCCTGGGGAAGTGGAGCAACTTATTTGGCTGGTCAATGTGGGGAGCAGTAAGCTCAGGGTGACTGATGAGACTTCTTCTCCATGGCCTGAGGCTGGAGGATGTGCTCGTGGGGCTTGCCGTGGAGCAGGATCCACCCTTTTGTCTGCAGGTGCAAGCCTTGTTCCCCAAACCAGCTCTGTGTTTGTAGCAAGGAGGCTACTTTGATGTCCATCTTACTGCTGGGTCTACTTCATGTGTTTTTGAACTAGGCTAGGAAGAGGCGATTGTCCTTGGTTGGCCCTATTATTCTTTTGGGGAAGGGTGGATAGGGGTGTTTTTTCCTTTTGTCCACTCCTCCATTCCCTGCTGGCTTCCTGTAGGTCACCCTGGCATGGTTAGGCAGGGGTGGCATTTGAAGTAAGGGGCAGAAAAGTGCCGTGGCAAGTGTGATCTGACATCAGAGCTTCCAGATGTCAGCCATGTCCCCCACCAGATGCTCTCAACAGATGCCCCCTCAGCCCTGTGGATGACTCTGCTCCCTACCCCGGCCACAGCCAGCAGACCCTTTCAAGTGTGGTTACTCACTATGCCTGCACCTGCTGCCTAGAATTCTTTTACTGCTCCTGTGGACGCTAAGCTCCGGGACCCAGGTGCCTGGGAAGTCGCCCCTTCCTCCTCTGGCTGGGGCTCTTGGCACCTGCAGGCTTCAGGCCTCAACGCACCGACTTTCTCTCAGGAGAGCCCTCTGGGAACCCCCAGTCTTCCCGCTACGACCGGGTTCTGATCCCAGCGTCGCTGTCTCTGGTTTGCTTTCCTGTTTTGACCGAGCCCGTCCTCTGGGAGCCTCACTTTTTACCCCTCCCGCAGGGCTCCGCTTCCCGGGGCATCTGCTCCCTCCCCATGCGGGCTCTCACCATCAGCCTCCCCTGCAGCCCTCTGTCTGCTCCCCCTCCAGGTCCCCCTCCAGCCCCTTCTCAGGGCCTCCTGCAGCCCTTCATGGAGCCACTTTCTGACCCCCTCGCGCCTCTACGCCTTATCACACCGATGCCAGGGAGACCCCCACCCCGCGCCCGCGCCCCCGCTGTCTCTTCCCGACCCTCTCTCGCCTCCGGCTAGTGCCGCACCCCCCCAACCTCCCTCCCCGGTGGCTCCTCCAGCGCGGGACTCTTCCCTGCACTGGCCTCTGTCCTGGCCGCTCCTTGCGCTTGAGCCTCCTTTCCTTCCGGCCTTGAGCGGGACCCTTCTTCCAGGCCGCCCACACTCCCCTCACAGATGCCTCCAAAACCGCGCACCGGGTAGACCCGGAGCCCCAAAGGCACCTGAATCCAACTCCTCCCCTGCAGGCTCCGCCCCTCCAAGCAGCCTCGGCCCTGCACCCCGCCCCTACCGTGGTGGCGCCGCGCTCTCCTCCACTGCGATCGCCCAGCGCACCCCCGGCCCGTCCCCGCGGTTTTCTGATTGGCTGTACGAGCATCGGCCCACATGGGCATTGAGAGTCGGCCGAGGCGCGCACCGGCGTCGTGCGGCAGGGGGCGGGGCGGGGGCTGGTGGTCCTTTGGGCCTGCTCCCCGCGCAGAGCCAGCGTAGCTGTCATGACGGAGGGCACGTGAGTTCCAGTGTTGCAGGCCGCGGAAGGCGTGCTGGGTGGTCGAGGGTGCTGAGGGGAGGGGCGCCGTTGGGTAGGGGTGCAGCAGCCAGCAAGGCTCCTGAACACTGGGCGGGCGGGGGCCGCGGGCCGCCGGGGGCTGGCGCTCCGGGTTGTGGGTGAGGGGCAGGCGGGGACGCAGGGGGGCCGGCTGGCAGGGTAGGTCTGCGACCTGGTGACCAGCAGCCCCGCGCCGCTCAGGTGTCTGCGCCGCAGAGGGGGACCGTATAAGACGGAGCCCGCCACCGACCTGAGGCGCTGGCGACTCAGCAATGAGAGAGGAAGGCAGGTGTGGACTTACTTTAAGGAAGAGGAGAACCCCGGCCGGGATCAGACCGGCCTGGAAGCCCACTCCCTGGGCCTGGACACGGTAAGTGACTCCATTTTGCTTGTCGTTGCTTCGGTCTCTGGCGACCTGCCTGGAGCCTCAGCGCCAGCCGGGCGCCTTGAAAAGCTAGTTGTGAAGAGCGGGTTTTTTTTGTTTGTTTGTTTTTGTTTTTGCTGTTTTTGCGGCGAACCCGCCACCTCCTGTATATGGGGCTGGCACCCTACACCTTGAGCCACAAACGCTGCCCCGTTGTTTTCTTGTCACCACAGGTTTGTGTGATGTGTGGCCAGTGACAACTGCCACCAAGGCTGGTTCCCACAGGAATTAGTGCTTGACCTGAACAAGCCCTTTTGCTTTGATCCCTTCTTGACTATGCTGTGTATAAGAGACTTATAATTTTGTTTTGTTTTTTAGCGTTTTATTTTGAGATAATATTAGATTTACAGAACAGTTGGAAAGATAGTTTTAATTTTGTATCTATTCACAAAAGAAGTTTTTTAATCCAGTGGTTTACTCGTATGCATTCTTCGGAGAAATTCAGGTACTCAGAGAGTGTGCAGTGTAGACTGGGTCTCCCTGGCCACCTGCTATGGGCCCAGCCCTCCCTGGGAGCTGCTGTGCTGCCCTTTGGGCCCTCCTGAGAGAGGTGAAAGCCCTAGGCATGCTGGGTTAAGGTGTGTTGGAGAAGTTGTGAAGAATTTTGCAAATGAATAACTGGAAAGTAAAACCAAGAGAACAGTGGTGGCTCATGCCTGTGATACTAGCACACTGGGAGGCTGAGGCAGGTGGATTGCCCTGAGCTCAGGAATTCAAGACCAGCCTGAGCCAGAGTGAGACCCAGTCTCTACAAAAAAAAAAAAAAAAGCTGGGCATTGTGGCTGGTACCTGTAGTCCCAGCTACTCCCATCCTTTAGTCTGTAGAACAAGAGAATCACTTGAGGCCAAGAGTTGGAGGTTGCTGTGAGCTGTGACACCACAGCACTCTACCAGCCTGAGTCAGAGTGAGACCCAGTCTCTACAATAACAAAAAAAGCCGGGCATTGTGGCTGGTACCTGTAGTCCCAGCTACTCCCATCCTTTAGTCTGTAGAACAAGAGATTCACTTGAGCCCAAGAGTTGGAGGTTGCTGTGCGCTGTGACACCACGGCACTCTACCGAGAGCGATAAAGTAAGACTGTCTCAGTAAAAAATAAATAAACAGAGAACAGGAATTGTCCTTCTACTGTGCTGGGGTGTGATGCTGTCATCGAAGAATTTCAGACTGTTGATTAAAACAGTGGAAACTTTTAAAGTAATTTAGATTCACTCTTTTGACTTGGGCTGAGTGAGGAGGGGTTCTCTTGCTGGCAACCTGCCCCTCAGCTCTGATTTTTCTCCCTGCAGAAAAATTACTTTAAGGACTTGCCCAAAGCCCACACGTCTCATGAGGGAGCTCTGAACGGGATGACGTTTTATGTGGGGCTGCAGGCTGAGGACGGCCACTGGGCTGGTGACTATGGTGGCCCGCTTTTCCTCCTGCCAGGTAGGAGCACATGCCCTGGCCTAAAGGTAAGGCCACTGTGGTTGTGGCCCAGCCTGGCCAGGGCTCTCAGGAGCTCACACAGAAGAGGGCTGGTGAGGGCTGCCCCTTGTCTTGCTTTCATGCTAGTGGATAGGATGAGGGTACAGCTGCCCGGTGCAGGAGGAGAAGGATCATATCAGGGAAGCACAGGGGCCCTTGGTAGGGGAGGAGGAGGGTGGGCTCTGCAGGCTCAGGGCAAGGGGTTGGGCACTCTGGTGGAGGGGCTATAGGTGGGCAGGGTGGTGGGGGAGAGCTGATGTCCACTCTGACCTGCCTAGAAGGGAGCTTCTGCAAGGGAGCTTCAGTTGCAGACCAGTGGGGCGCAGTGCTTGGACTCCTGGTACTGAGCTGTTTCAGCTGCCCAAGTCATGTTTTGGAAACACGACTATTTCACAAATGTTTGCAGAAATAGTCGTGTCATCTAGAAGGTTCCCACCTGTGAATTTGTGCAGTAGGACCTTTCCCTGGTGACTTGTAATCGAGTTATTTCAGTGACCTGGATTCTGTGGGAACAAGGGTTTGTTTCAATAGAAACTTGTTATTGAGGGCTACATTTTCTTCACCTGTACTGTCTTAATAATTATAACTTTGTATTAGATCTAAAGTTCTGATGTCCCTTTGTTGTCTTTCTTTTTATAACAGTCCTTGGCTGTGTCTGTCCACTTACACATCTAGATTGCCTTTGTCGTAACTGTCCAGTCCCAGAACAAAGACTGTTGGACTCTGGGTGGAGTCACATCAGGTCCATGTGTCAGTCTGGGAGGGGCTGCGATGCTATGAACAGCTCCATGGTGGTGGTTATTGCCAGCTGAGGCCTGTGCATCCTTTAGTCTGTAGAACAAGCTATGTCAAGCATGTGGGGAAACTGAGCATCTTTACTCCAGGCCCTATGAGTGGGGGCCCTGGGATGCTATCCAGCTCCTGTCCCTCCACCCCATTGCCACCTGCACTGTATAGCACTGTGTCTTGCTGTCCTGGGACTTGACTATAGGCAAAACACCTATATGCCTCTGGCCAAAAATACCATTTGAGAGAGAGCAGTGAAAAGACTCTGTGCAGGCATACTTGTAAGAAACTGAGGCAGAATCCCATGTGGCCAGGTTAGTTGCAGGCCTAACATGACCAAGGCTTTGGCTGGAATAGCATTTCCAGACTGCATTAAGGAATTAAGGTTGACTATATAAGGCCAATGAAAAAGCCCTTTGGAAAACTGGCCAGATACCCATCAGTAACCTTTACTAATCTGTGGTTAGTGATGAAGGTTGCTTGCTGACGGGTCCAGGAATGGAAATGTGCTTGGGGGACCTCAAGAGAAGAGGAATTTACCCAATGCATACAGGTATCTAGTGACACAGATGAAACCTGGGCTTATGAAAGGGTTTTGAGAAGTCCAGCCTGAAAATTCCTTATAAAAGGTTCCAGCAAAAACCCCTGACTTAAGGCCTACATGGGAGCAGAGGTTTGCACACAAATTCCTGTATGCCCAAGAAATTTCTTTATGCCATGTTTAAAGATCCGAAGTAACAGCCTCCAAATGGCAAGGCCAGCAAGGGCAAGTATTCTTTTTTTTTTTTTTTT